TGCTAGGCACCAACTTGACTCAATGTGTGTGTGTGTATGTGTGTGTGTGTGTGTGTGTGTGTGTGTGTGTGTGTGTGTGCGTCTTCCGCCTCCGAGTGGCCTCGTCTCTTCCCCCCCTCCGGGGCCGCCCTGGCCGCCCTCTTCCTCCTCCTGCATGCTGGCCATTTCGCTTTTCGGTGCCCCCGTTTAGCTCTATCCCTGGTGCAGCCAATCTGCCTCGCCGCCGACCAAAAAAAAGGGTGTGTGTGTGATCTCAGTCTGCTGGGCACGTGCTTGCAGCCTCGCGGTGTGGTCACCACACGCTCCCCTGAGGAGGAGGAGGGGCTGTGCGCCTCTCCGAGATCCAGGCGCCGCGTTGTTTCTGGTCTTGCGCCGGGCGTTCTCGCCTACGGTCGGGAACTTTTTCGGGGATGGACAGACCTCCCTTTAGTAAAACGTGGCTTAGTGAAAACACCCTGAGGCCCAAACCTGGCGGGCGCAAACATGGAAAATAACGGCCGCGGCGCCCTCTCGAGAGCCGAAAACGGACAATTCACTAATCGACGTGTCACTGTTGGGGGTTCTGTCCGCCCCCGACTTTTGCTCAGCGTGTCGCGTCGAATCGTGGTCGGCCGGGATCGACGGAACGATACGCTACGTGAGTCACAATTCCTGACCGCAATTTCGGGCCCCAGGACTGTGGCGGCTCGATCCGGCTCGAGAGGTGTAGCAGAAACATGGGGTCGAGGGATCGCGCTTACCAGGCAACAGCTTGTTCGCCACGTCGGACGTCAGGAGATGGGGCAGGACTTATCGAGCCTGCAATATGCGATAAGGCGGCATCGGTTCCCTATGGATGATGGTGCAGCGAGCGAGCTGCTTATCGGTGGTCCATGTGACCTGAACCCTAGGAGGTCAGGTCTCGCCGCAAAGAGCAGCCATTGCAAAACTCAGAGGTCATTCGACAAGGGATGGAGGGAGGATGAGGAATGACGAGGAAGGAGGAGGAATGACGAGGCAGAAGGAGGAGGAGGAGGAGGAGCAGGAGGAGGAGGAGGACTGACGAGGAAGGTGGAGGAGGAGGAGGAGGAGCAGGAGGAGGAGGAGGACGAGGAGGAGGAGGAGGAGGGAGGAGGAGGAGGAGGAGAGGAAGGAGGGAGGAGGAGGAGGAGGAGGAGGAGGAGGAGGAGGAGCAGGAGGAGGAGGGGCAGGAGGAGGGGCAGGAGGAGGAGGAGGAGGAGCAGGAGGAGAAGGGGGAGGAGGAGGGGCAGGAGGAGGAGGAGGAGGAGGAGGAGGAAGAGGAGGAGGCGATCGGCGGGCCGAGCGCGGGATCCGCGGCAGCCGAGGGGGTCTCCTTCTGCTGCGCCGTGCTCCTGGGGGCGCCCCCCCTCCCGACCGGGCGAAGTTGGGCGTGGCTGAATGGGGGGTCATACACGGGGGGTCAGAAACGGTCCCCTTTCCTGTCGCTTTCGGGCCCCTCCGGAACCCCCAGGGGGCTCGTTCAGGTACCGTGAGGGTACCTTGTCGGACTACCCTCGCCACCCAACACGCGACGCCCAACGAAGCTCTGCTGTCTTCTCCCCGGCCATCCCGTGGACTGCGCCCTGCTTCGAGCAGGGCACCCCGAGTTCCTCACTAAGCGTGGAAGGGGCGGGCCGCGCGAGGGCGGCGGTAGTAATGGACTGTCCTTCATGGGCTGCGGGGGGGGGGGGATCGCAGCGATGGGTGGGCTCGGTGCGCGAAAGGGAGCTGGAACGGGCTGTCGGGCGGGGTGGGTTGGGCGGGGGGGGGGTTTCTCAAGCAACTTGGAGTGCCCGTCGCTCCGAGCCAGGCAAGGCGCTGCTGCGGGAAATGCACTTCCCACGAGTGCATGATGTTTGGGTTGGTTCGCAATCAGGTTTAGCGCGTGAGAAGTCCCTGCACATAGGCCAGCACCCCTGGTCGGGTCCGTGCACGAACAGGTTTCCCGACAGCCCCGTCGGCACGAACTTGATGGAGTTCTACTCGCAAGCGGATCCGCCGATCGCGCGTGCCGACTACAACTACGCTTACCTCAGCCGGCACATACCGCTGCGCAGCAGCAGCAAGCTGCTCAAAGATGGAGGTGCGAGCCAACATGGTGCAGAAAGCACTGGCGCATTGTCTGTGCAGCAGGTGCAACAAACACTGGCCAATTGAGTGCAGTCGGTCGATCGGGCGGCCACCGCGGACCCTCGCGGTGATATCCCCCTCGCGCACCTTGGGAAGTACGCGCGCGCGTCCGACTCGTCGCAGTCATGGCGCGGGGGCGGAGAGCGGGACTCCCAGTCGCAATGGGGCTCATGGAAGAGCGACCCCTGGTCAGAGAGCAGCAAGGCTCAGTTCAGGCCCAGGCTTGCGCCCGAAAACGGGCCAGCCCCTGCAGCAGCAGCCCCTGCAGCATCAGCAGCACTAGGCACCAGTGCAGCAGCAGCAGCAGCAGCAGCAGCAGCAGCAGCAGCAGGCGCCCCTGCGGCAGGAACGGCAGCAGCAGACTCAGCAGCAATTGGAGGCGCAGCCGCCGATTCAGAGGAAACGTGGGATACATCGATAGGCGACGCGGAGGGCGCCGCAAACTTGCAGGAGTACGAGGACTTGGCATACGGTCGCCTCCTGAGAAGGCCCGCTGCGGCTAAGAAACCATCTGCCTCGGGAAAGGCCATCCTGAAAAGACTAGCTGCATGCACGGCAGGTCAAAGAAGATCAAGTACACGATCACGCGTGCGAATGCCGACAAAAAGAGCACCAAGATCGCGTTTGCTTCATGACACTACGGCAGGGCTGAAACCGCGTGCAAGCGCGAGTACCCTGACATCAGCAGTGCCGGCCTGAAGGGGATCATCAATAAGGTCTACAAGGATGTGGCTGCCCTCTCGCCCCAGCACATGGGCAGAAGGCTCCATCTGTTTCGGATTGCACGTTTCATGTTTTCCAACGGTCTGACCAATACCATCCTCGACCATTTTCTCCTCTTGCGGGCTGCGCCCTGCGGGGCGCGACGATTGCGCGCGCATGTTAAATCGCATGCGTCGGGAATGGGCGACTCGGCGGGTCGGCCAAGTCCGCGCGGACACGTCCTGTGGACAATGGCCCTGGACTTTTTCAGGCCACGCGTCTCGGCCAAGTCATTGCGGACATGTCCTTCGGACAATGCCGTCGCGTAGCCGAAACGCAGTGGCGTATGCTCTGTAGAAATCAACCCGCATCGCGATGGTCATCACGCGGGCGCAAGAGCAATCGCATGTAGCTCGTCTGCAAAAGCCGCGCTTCGCCCCGAGCTCGCCCGCCCCGTGGCCCGTCGCGACGCCGGGCCCGACGCGCGATGGAGTCCACGGCCCGCTCGCGCAACCCGCGCAAGCATGCTGATTCGGAGCTGGCCCCCGCGACGCCGGTGCAAGCCTCCTCGCGAGATGAGCCTCGGGGCGGCAGCGCGTTCGCCGAGCGCCTCCGCCACGCGAGGGCGCGCCTGCCGACGCTGGAGGACTGGGGGGCCTTTCTCACCATCTCCTCTGCCCCTCGTCGTCGTCGTCGTTCGTCGCATTTTTTTTGTTGATGAGCTCGGGCCCTTAGCGCGGGGGCGCGCGTCGTGCGCGCGGGGGCCTCGAACCGGCGGTTCTGCCTGCTCGCCGCGGAGACCAGGCAGGACCTAGGGCGCGAGCGACTGCGCTCGTGCCAGTTGCGCCCTGCGCTTGCCGAGGCCACTGGCGCGCCGCCCGACGACGTCGGCGACTTCGACAACGGCGAGGGGCTCGACGTCGACGACTTCGACAACGGCGAGGGGGCGGAGAAGTGGGCGCCACCAGTCCGCGCAGCGCGACGCCCCGTCGCCCTGCCGCGCGCGCGCGGGGCAGACGGGCGGGCGACGGCGCGCTGGATGTGGGGGGGCCCGCCCGACGCAGCGATCAGCGAGTCGGATTCGGAATGAGCAGCGCCCTGCAATTCGTTTATAGAGCGCTCGGCTCGTCGAAAACGGCCGACGTGGCCGCGCGGCTGCAATCGCTCAACCATGTGTGCGGTTGCAAGTACCGCGCTGCGGGCACAGAGCTCCCGAAATATTTCTGGGCCGCGATCCTCGCGAAGGGCGCGCGCGCGCCGGGGGGGGGGGGCGGGGGGGGGGGGGGGGGTGCGGATGAGGGGAGGCGGAGACTGATTGCGGGAAGGGGGAAACCATGATGATGCTGAGACTGATAATGGTCGCTGTGTTGTCTGCTCGGGCACGCAAGGCCCAGCGGCGCGCCGCGGGCACGAGGGCGCCCGCGTGCCCGTCAGCGCACTTCCGATAGGGTACGGCCCCTGAGACGTCTGACAACGGACAGAGGCGCGCAGTCGCTGAAGGGCGCCCCGATGCGAAACTATCCCTGGCATCAGATACGGGGCGTATCGCGACCAGGGCGCGCAGCTCGTCCACCGCTTCGGCCGTGAACCAAGCCCGCCCCAGCACAGGTCTCCCTCTTTCGGGAGTCAGTATGACAACATCACTGGTGTGAGCGATTTCGGGCTTGGACACTCTAGCCAACTTCGCAGTCTCACGCGTGCTCTTCCGAGCCGTTGGAAGGCCCAGCTCAGATGCGATGAACTCTGCCACATTATCTTTGGCGGACTTCGGCCGCAGCAGCTCGACGCCGACGTCGAACTTATCATCCGAAGACTTCAGGTCGTGAAGGTGCTTACACGTCACCTCGGACGGAACGCTCTTCCTCATGGAAGTTGCGTTGCGCACGCCGCCCCGGGAACCTGGGGCGACTATGGCATCGACCGCGCGCTGCGCCCAGACAGGGGCAGAGTTGGTGGCTGATGTTATAATCCACCTAGCCCTATTTGGCCATCTTGTGCTTCCTCTCGTTAGTCCAGCACGCCGGTGGGGTGCCAATTCTCATGTGCTCGATGGCCAGGTGCAGGGCCCAGTGAAACATTGGGCGCAGGTGCGCGCCCCCACCCTGCGTCCAAGCACGCTTGCAAGATCGCGTCCACCTAGGCACTGAGATGCTTCGTGCTCGCGGTGCTATGCGGCACGGCAATCAAGAGGCCCATGATGGGCGAGCACGCAAAGCACGCCTCGCACCGCTTGACGCAGCAGCCTGCCCTGAGCCGCGCGTTTCGCACAGAATGCGCGATCAAGCTGTGCATGGGCATTGCCTCTGACGCAATGCACTTCGCGTGCTTGGCCTCGAGGCGCGCTTCGGGCCCTGGCGGCGACGCGACGTCGACGAGGGCGGCCGGCTTCGTGCCCAACCTTTGCGGGAGATTCCACTGCCCCAGGAGCTCGTTCACAGCGTCAAGTGCACGCGCCCTCCCAGCCAGCAAGCTGGCCATCAAAAGGCACGGCGCTGCGTTCCGCGCGCCGCACGCGACGAATGCGCGCATCCAGTCATGGGCGAAACAGCTCACGGGCTTCGCGGTGCGGCGCAGGCCCCTCTTCAGGAGGTTGAACCTGCTGCGGTTGATCCCCGCTGCCATTTCTCGTAGCGCGAGCTCGGCAGGCCTTGTCCCAGCGATGAGCGCCAACCTCTCGACGCTGGCTCGCAGCTCGTCGTCCGTCGCGAGGTCCATGGCGGACTCGACGGTGATGTTGCCCGGGATGTCTCCCCCGCCCTCGCCCGCGATGCCGCTCTTTGTCGAATGCAAGTTTTTCCTGAGGGCGCATGCTGCGTGGCCCGCCTCGCCCTGTGCACAGAAGGCCCGCTTGTGGGCGCCGCCGTCTTGTGGTATCATGGTGAGCTTGGCGAAGAGCCCCGTGCTGGAGCCGCCTGGGGAGGTCGGAACGACTCCTGCGTCGTAGCTGCGACAATTTGCGCTGAACATCAGCTAGAGCAGAGCTCCAAAAACCTACGCAATACCACCGCCGTGCGCTTTCACTCGACCGGTCCGCTCGCAGACTCGCACGCAGCGCATGCCCGCGCACAGCGACCGCACTTCGCTTGCAAGGGAAATGCAGGCGACCCAGCACTCACGCAGGTCGCGGCCTGCCAACTGGCTGTCTGCGACAACCTCGTCGCCGTGGGCCACGGGGTCCCATGGGTCGTCCATGGATGGTGGCCGCTCGGCGATGACGCGCTGCATGGCCGTCGCGAAGCCGCCGCCCGCGGCGCGCGCCTCGCCGGGGAAAACAAACTGGGCGACCTCCAGCAAGTGGTCTATAGAGCCGCTCGTGCGCGCCGCTGGCAGCGTGGCGAGCAACTCTCCGTGCTCGCCGCGTCCGCGCATGATGAAGTCCCGCGCCCGCCGAATGGCGCTGCGGAGCCTGACGCCCCCGCTCTGGCCATCGTCGGCCCATGATCCGCGCGGACCGCGCGCGAGGGCCGACTGCTTTGCACGGGTGCGCCAAGCCAAAATGCCACGGGACCTCTAGATGTTCGGCGGGTGGAAACGGAATGTTCCACGCGGGCCCGACGAAGTCCGCAAGACGCAAGGGCCGCGCGATTCAGATCGCCTGTGTCACTAGCATGGGCCGCATGAGATGCGGGGGCCGCACAACCCCGGTGGAAACCAACCCCCGTTGCAACTCGGCCCGCGCCGACTAGCCGAGCAACCCAGGGAGTGCAGAGCCGACCAAACCAACCAACCAGCCGACGAACCAACCAACGAACCAGATCCCCACGCGCGCACATCTTTTGTGGGCACGTCCCGCTGTGCATGTTTGCGTGAGAACGCATTAACCTGTGGCGACTGAGCGTTCTCTGGCGGCCACCCTTTGGGCGCCCAGGTGACGCGAGCAAGCCGCCGAACGCGTCCCCGCGACATTCGCGCGAGGGGGGAACATTTTACATATTCGCGTTTTGCCCTTGGGGAGACAAAAATATATCTGGCCCGAGAAGCGCGCAAACCGGTCGAGACACCCGCCGCACTGCGGGCGCGAAAAGGCACGGCCCATGTTGGGTTGACCAAATGCCACGCCTGCCTTGTCGCGGCGACCACGCGGCTCTCAAGAGAGAGTGAGAGAGAGAGAAACAACAACAAAAAAAACAAAAAAAAAAAGTATGTACCACGCGCAATCGGGGCGCGAACGGGCAAGCGCGCTGCTCCCTGGCGGCTCCTTCTTGGGGTGCCCACATGGCGCCCTTGCTATGCAGCGCTGGCCATTTTTTTTTCAAAATAGAATCTTCTGTTTGGCCAAGCAAGCAAACAGCCTGGAACGTTCGCGCTATGAGATCGCGCACGCACGCGCGTCCGACCCCCTGGCGGTTCTACCTCGGGACGCCCAAGAGCCACGCATACGCGCGCCTGTCAAAACATAGGGGTGCGTTTTACCAAACGGCCACTCCCGCGCGGCACCTCCTTGGGGTACCGCGCTGCTACGCCTGCTACAAATCGGTGGGCCTAGTGCCGCGCATGAGCGCATCAAAGTACGATTGGTCTAGATATGGTTGGCTGTGGGAGAGAGTGAGCCTGATACTCATGTGCGAGAACTGTGAGAGTGAGCCTGCGTCGGGCGCGAGTGGGTCTCAGTGTCGGCGGATTTGCATGCGAACGGGTCTGCGCGTAAGCGCGCCATGGCGTCGAGAGGGCGGGGGCGGGAGGGGGGGGAAGGGGCGGGCGGGCGGGATGCGGGTGCGTCAAACAAATAACACGAATCACGCTGCGGGGAAAGAGGCGTGCAGCCTGCAATGCTGAAAATGGCTGCGCTGGGCGGAGGGGGCGCGGTTGCGACGGCAGCGGCCGGGGCTGAAGAAGGCGGCGCGGGGAACAAACTAGGCGGACAAGCGACACCCGATCAACCAACAAGCCCGCCACGCAACCAAGCACCCAGACAACAGACCCAACCAAACAGCCAATCATCGGTGCATTGCCGCTCGAGATTTCCCCGCATCGCGGGCTCCGCGACACGGGGGGGGTGGTGGCGCAAATAGCGGGGCCGATGAAAGGGGAGGGCGGAAGCGGGAAGAGCCCGGAAAATGAGGAGCGATGGGGGGTGCCCCACCCCCCCCCGCCAAGGCAGGGGCGCCATGCAAGGCCCCCCCGCCCCCTTCGGCCGCTGGAGCCTGGATTGAGGGGGCGAGGAGGGAACCGCGGAGTGCCGCCCAACGCCCGTCCGCGAACAGAAAGCGAAGCGGGGCGGGGGAGCGGGGCGAGAAATATTTGCTCGCAGGAGGGAAAGGAAGGGACGGAGAGGGGGGGCGAACGCGCTGCAACGCGCCACCGCGCGGTTACAACGCATCGCAAGGTGGGTGGGCGCCCGATGCGCCTGGGGCGCAGCGCGGACCAACCCGCCGAACGCGAGGCCTGGCGGACGCGCCGCTGCGTACTGCAGCGCGCCCCGACTACCACGAACGACCAGCCAAATCCGCGCGGCAACGAAGAGGCGGAGGAACAACAAAAAACACAAGGGGAAACGGAAGATCCAAACAACAAGCCGGAAAACGCAAAAGAAGAAGAGGGGGACGATAATCGGAAAGGGGACATGCTGCGCAAATCAGTTCCTAACCCGCGTGCAAGTGGCGCCCTCGTCGCAAGAGCTCGGGGCATGGTGGCGGGGGCGACGCCTGCGCGTGGACTGTGGCGCGCGTGGGGCGCGGGGCTGCATCTGCCGCATGGGCCGCAGGAGCTGCGCGAAACGCAAAGGCCGCATAATCCACGTGGACCGCGAGATCCGCATGGGATGCGGGGGCGGGAGGCCGCGTCGGACAAGCGAGGCCCCAAGGGCCGCGCGAAGCGCGCGGGCGCCTCCGGCAGATGGCTAGGCGAGACGCACGGGCAGCGCGAAGCGCGCGGGCCGTGGGCGATACATGCACCGCGTGGCCGCTTGTGCTGCCCAGGTCGCAGGAAGTGCGCGATCCGCGCGATAGTTGATCTTGCGCGCCGCCAGGCAGGCCCTGCGCGAAAGCCGCACGACTGGTAAACACTTAAGTAGGCCCAGTGAACATCCCGTCGTGCGCCCACTCAGGGAACCGGCCCCCGCTGCCAATCATTCGGGCGAGAGCCGCGCCGACCAAGCCAACCAATCGCCCAGCCATCAAACGCAACGACATCACTTGAGACGTCCCCACAATGCGGCCGCAAGGTTTGGAGAAGGAATGCACCTTGCAATCATGTTTTGTTACTCGACAGCGACGAGGGCAGAAACCGAGGCGACCAACCAACCCAACTTCGCAGCCAAAAGCCTCGGCGCCGTCGCTTGCGAGTTCCTCGCGTTCTTGGCGCCAAAGCAGGGAGCAGCGCGTGTTTCCAGCGATGTTGAATGGCAGGGCAGGGTTGGTGAGGAGGGAGAAAAGGGAACGGGCGAACCAGGAAGAGGAACAGCAAAAATACCCCCCCCGCAAGGCAGGGGTGCAGCGTCAGGCCTCCCGCTGTCGGCCGCCGAAGCCTGGCCCGGACACATCCGGCGCCGCCGCGGGGGAGGCGGGGGGAATGGAAAGAGGGGGCGCCATCCCATGCGCATCCGCCGACAAAAAGCGGGGGGCGGGCGGGGGGGCAGAAAGGGGGGGCGCGAGGAAGGGGAGGGGAAGAACGCGCTGCAACGCACCGCCGCGCGGCTGCAGCAGAGTGCGAACTGGAGCAACGAGACATGCGCCTGGAACGCAGCACAAACCAACCCACCGCAAATGAGGCCTGGCGGACGAAACGTTGTTAACAGCAGCGCGCCCCGAAGCCCAAGTGGCCAACCAAATCTGCGCGGCATCATAAAAAGGCGGAGGCACCAAAGAGAACTAAGAGGGAAAAGGAGGATGTGAACAACGAGCGGGAGAGCGCTGGAGAAATGAAGGGAGGAAGAGGCTCAGACGGGCATGGATTGCACAGGCCAAGTGTAAGTGAGGACCAGCCCCTCAAGAGCGAAATGCTGCAAAGGCGACGTATGCATCTGTGAGTTCCTCCTCCTCCTCTTCCTCCTCCTCCTTCTCATCCTCCTCCTCCTTCTCCTGGTCCTCCTTGCCCACGCTAATTTTCATTGCGATTCATTTCTACGAGCGTCGGACACAGAGCGGGTATGTAAGAAACTGGGTGGACCGAGAGATCCTCGCAATATGAACGCGACAGCGCCCGTGATGTACCCCCTAGCGCCCACCCCTTGCGATCCCCAAGTGCCACGCCTGCTACATCGCGACGACCAGGCAACCCAGAACAATTATGGACACAGTCAAACAGAAAAGCCAGAGTCCCGCTTCAGGCATCCGCACAAGCTGGGCGCCAATGGGTAAGTGTCCCACCCGTCATCACATCGCAATTATCACGCACCCCTGAACAGAGACACCCCCTGGCGGCTAACTCTTGTAGTGCCCAAGTCGTAGGTCAATTGCGTCGTCGCGGCGACTGGGCGGCCCGAAAAAAAACGCGCCGACATTCCAAAACAAACGTTTCAATTTACAGATCCCCACCAATCTGGGCGCGAACGCACCCGTGATGTACCCCTTGGTGCCTCCCCCCTGTGTCGCCCAAAGGTGATGACTGCTACACCGCGATTGCCAGTCCCCACAAATCTGGGCGTCAACGGGCCAGTGTCCGACCCTCTGACGCCCTCCCTCCCTCTCTGGGTTGCCCAAATATACCACTCCCGGCACACCCCTCTGGAAACGATAATACAAACATAAACAACGACAACAGCAGCCAAGTCTTCAAAGGAAACCACCTCTCAAAATTACAACAACGCATCGATCGAATCGGTTACCCGCCATCCATAAAATGCTGACAGCGGGCGAAACTGAGAGGCTTAATCGCAAGGCATATTTCAACAAAGAACGAAACTCGGCAGTCGTGTGTGAGACGCTGTCGTCGTCTTCGTCGTCGTCGTTGTCGTCGCCGTCGCCAGTCCTGAGTCTCGCCTCTTGGGCCATCTTGGGGCGATCTCCGGGGCCTCTTGGGACGTCTTGGACGCTGGTAAGACCGAACAACGAATATGCTAAATACATACGTCTTCCTGAAAGAATGGTACGGTCTTCGTCTCTTGGGGCCGTCTTGGAGGTCCTCTTGGAGCCGTCTTGTGGCGCCTTGAGCCGTCTTGGACTCCCTTGGGACTTCTCTGGAAGCTCTGGGGGTCCCGGATGGACTCCGCGGAAGCTCAAGAGAGGCTCAGGGGAGGCCCCGGGAGGGGAGGGGGCCCTTAGGTGATTCTGGGTGACCCTGGTGTGCTGCAGCCCCGGGGCCTCTGGGAGTAGGTTTCCGATGTATGAAAAACTAGAATCGCGCGCGCGCGCTGCGCTTGCTTGCTTTGGCTCCAGCAAGATGTGGCGACGGTATAGGGTTCGCAGCATCGGAGCGCAGAAAGACTTCGATCAATCATGATCAATCAGCAAATCGTACCCTCCCTTTATGTCCCCACGGATGCACGTCATGAACCCCAATCGCCCTTAATCCTGCATTCTCCTCTCAGCAAACCCTCTCAATCCCTCGCCTTTCCACCCCCCTTTTTGGCGGACCAATGGAATCACATTCCATGCGACAAAGGAGCTGTTGCGGGCGCGGTGGACGACTTCCAGTCGGCATGCAATGCGACAAAGTAGATTCGTTGCCGACGCGGTGGACGTGTTCCACTCGGCGTGCAGCAATGGACAATACAGCTGGCCACAGGTATAAAAAGGATTCCGCATGATCCCACGGGGAGGGAGGGATCGAAGGAGCCCTTTCTCTTCACAGCGCGGGCGCGCTCCGCTGCCCCTCGTCCCGTTCTTCGCTGCTCTGGCGCTGGCTACTGCTGCTGCTGCTGCTCGCCCGCTGCCTGCGCCCCCCTCTCGTGCTGCCGGCTGTGGCTGCTCCAGCTCACCCGACGCCCCACGCCCCTCGTCCCTCCTGGCGTATACTAGTACAAGCTCATCGTCAGCCTGTGCAGGAAATCGAATGCAGCAGTGGGACGCAGATGCCTGCGACAGCTGCGCTGATCTACGGGGGATCATTACTCGCTGGAGGAGGACGCCGCCACTGTCACGCGCAGGCCCCCCACAGGCGGCCAGCGCCTCACAGGACCACTGTGCGCGGATATTGGGCGGGTTCTCAAATCGCTCTCGCCACCAGTGTCTCGCAAGTGAGACTCATGGGTTCATTGCTCCAGGGAGGGGGGCGGGGGAAGCGAAACAGTGGGAGGCAGGACGGTGGAAGAGGACGACGAACATGGGGATGGTGGAAGCGAGAATGAGAAAAAGCGTCGGGGAGCGGGCGGGCATCGGCCGTGGAGCTCGGGATGATCCCTGATCCCTATGTGTGTATATATACATATATATATACATATACATACACATATATACATACATATATATAGATATATGCTTGTCTATGTGTTTACAACGGTATACATAAATAAATATATGTATGAGTGTACACGCCGGTATGTATGGTATGTGTAGATGCACGCATGCAGGTATGCGGGCATGCTGTATATATATATATATATACACGTTTGCACACGTGCACACACAAATATATAGACATATATTTTTATATATATATATATATATTGCGTGTAGAAGCATTGGTGTGTGAATGCGCGGGCCCTGGAGCTCTCGACCTCTTCCGCGGGACCACTTGCCCACCCTGTGTAGTTTCTTGTGGGATCCACGAAAGGCCCCAGGTGCCCGAAAACCGAAAGAGACCAAACGGTTTGAGTTGTCCAGAGCGTTGGGGGATCTTTGCTTCGGTTCCTTTCAGAAGAAGCCCAGACAATCCAGGCGCGCGCATTCGCCTCGCCGTCCCTGGGCGACCCCCCGGGTCTCCGGAACTTTGCGGAGTCCAGGCGGACGCCCTGCAGCGACGTCTTCGCGTAGACGGTGCCCTGGTGCCGCCATTGCAGCCAGAGTGCCGCCTCCACCAGCCACTGGCACTCGGAGACCTGGGGGACCAGCGACCATTGTGCTCTTGGAAGAGAAGGATTGGCGGGGGAGAGATGGAGAGAGAGAGAGAGAAAGAAAGAACGAAAGAAAGAGAGAAAACGAAAACAAAGAGAAAAAGAGAGACAGAGAAAGGAAACACAACCAACGAGACAATTGAACACGAAGGCGCGCGCATTCCCACCCCCAACTGGATTGTTGGGGTGGGATGCGTTGGTGCGCGCTCGCGACGCTCGCGTCCCAGCCCCCCCCACCCTGTCTCGGCTGCGCGCGCAAATTCGTTCCCTCCTTGCCTCCACCCCCACGCCGCCCCCCTTGAAAGGGGGGATATGACATACGTCGCACCTTACCGCGGACGTATCGCTGCGACTCTGCGACACTTAGTCGAGAATCGACGGCGGCGGATCACCAACGACAAACGACTACAAACGGGCGACGAACGACGAACGACGACCGACGACAACGACGACGAGCGACGAACGACGATTGGTGACCAGGACGGCGACTGTCGACGAATAATTACGGACGACAAGCGGCGAACGTCGAACGACGCCACACATGCGGGCGTATTTCAACGAAACCCACCGGGGGTGGGTGGGTGGGAAGGGTCTGCATGAAAAGTTGGAAAGACTTTCTCGGGAACCCTCAGGGGATCGTCAGGACTCCTTGGGTGCGGACTCGCGCGTCGCATCGACAGCGGCCTCGGCGCGCAATTCTCGCGCGGGGGTCGGAACGCGCGGCGCCAAGCGGCCTCCTCGCGCGAACGTGTAGTGCTCGCGCTCGCAGGGGAGGACTCGCGCGTAGGATGGGCGAGCATCTCGGGACGCAGATTCTCGCGCGCAACGCCAGGCCCTCCCCGCGCGACTGAGCAGCGCTCAAGCGCACGGACTAGGATTCGCTGCCGTGTCGCCAGCGGTCTCAGCACACGATTTTCGCGTGGGGATCGGCGCGCGGCATCAAACAGCTTCCTCGCGCGACTGCGTAGGGGTCGCGCGCGCAGAAAAAGACTCGCGCGCCGCATCGGCGATGGTTTCGGAACGCAAGTTCACGCGCGGGGTCGGCGCTCGGCGCCATGCAGCTTCCTCGCGCGAGTTGGCAGCGCTCGAGCGCGCGAGGGAAGGCTCGCGCGACGCATCGGCGGAATGGTGCCGTGGTCTCGATCCGCGGGGGCGATGGCGCCTCACTGCGCGACTGGACAAACGCGCGCGCGGATGTTTCTGCGGATGCGCCGCAAACGCGCCGCCTATGTGGGCGTGACGCTACTTGGCCACCAGGCAGGGGGAGGGTGGGGGGTCGGAAAGAAAATCAATTGAACTGCTTTCTCGAGGTCCGTCAGGCCGCATCGACTGGGACTTTCTGTGAGTTTTCTGTAGCTTCCTTGGGCCCCCCTCGTTCCCGTAGAGCTTTCAAGAGCTTCCTCCTGGGGCCCCCCGGGGCTTCCTGGTGTGGCGGTAGCCTCCTCTCCAACATGGTTTTGTTGGCTTGAGCCATGACGCGACGCGAACATCTCTCTCGCAGCTGAACCTATCAATCAACAAATGGTATGCTGCTACATGCCCTAGACTTTCTCCTGGGTTCAGCACCCCTGGCAAGGGGAGGTGGCGAAACTATTGTCGGGGCCTCTGCCCGACCAAATTCTCGTGAACACGGCCTGCCAGCGGGGATCTACAATAGGCCTTGCCTATTGATGCAGCTGCTCCCCTGTCTCCATGCCGGCCGGCCAGAGCAAACAAGGGGAGGTGAAAGCAGGAAGGGGGGGGAGACGAGGAGAGACACCAAACCACCGCCACCACCGGCTGAGGATCCGGGCCCAGTGCTTCTCGAGCTCTCTTTCTCCCAGGCGACGCTGGCAACCTCGCGATCCAGGAACTTCCTGAAGGCAGCTTGGGGGCGGTTCTTGAGTCCTGGGCCCTCCTTCATCCTCTCCACCTCGCTCCCCTCGTCCACCAAGATCAGACGTCCATGGGTCATGAGATCGAACAACGCGGCGCTGTGCGTAGATATATCCTCTTTCGTAGGGGCATCAACGGGCATGCGATTGCGGGGAACCCAGCGTACCTTGCCGGAGGCCTGTTCGAAGGCTTCTCCAATGATCGCCAAATCGATAGCGGTGCGACGGTCCTTTGCCGGTGCAATTTCAACATCGCATCGTAAGTCGACGCGGCGTCCACGACGTGAATCTGTCCCTCTCGCGGCCCTCAGGCGACAATCGCGACGCAAAACTGTCGTGAATGGACCAGAGCACCGGTGCTGGTCTCGTATAGTCAAGCCTCTGGAAATCACATCACGATAAAACACTTGCAGATACTCGACCTCTGCCACTGCGGCTGAGAGCGCAAGGGTCTCGCCTGCTAACTGCTAACGTGGAGGGTACCTTGCGGCGCAGCTCGGAGCTGCGCCGGCCCAAAATAGAGGCACGCACTCCACACTTTTCGGCAGCGTCTCGATCGCAGGCCAAAACCATCCAAGCTCCTTGGGTGGGATCGACAGGCAGCCCGCGATCGTCGTCTAGCGCAACAAGGCCGCCGACGCCTCCAGCGTCGGAGAAGGAAACGAACGCCATGTGCTCTGGGTTGAGGCGCCAGACAACTATTCCCCGAGAAGCCGTTGCTCACGTCTCCCATGGTGGCAGCTTTTAGACGACTGGCAAGTATGCTCGCTGTCCCTGCGGCTTCGGGTCTGACTTCCAGTCGACCCAAGTGTTCTTTTTGCCGAAGCGTCCCTTGGCAAGAGATACGGGGCGAATCCCTTTAGCATATACTTTTCCATATCTATGGTTGCTCGACGCGGGCCGATAGTGACTCGGCGGCCTGCAAAATCTACGGACCCTGCTTGGCAATCTCGATACTTACAGATACGAAACCGAGCCTCTAACGCCTGTCGCAACCAAGTCCGACCCTGCTCGGAGGCACTCGCAATAAAGAAATCGACAACTTCCAGAAGTATCAGATCGAGCAAACGCCCCTGCTTGTCAAAACGGCACCACCAACAGGGTCCGAGTAGCGTGCGACGGAAGCCGTGTTTTTTTTTCCAAGTACTTGATCACTGTGCGCCTCCAGGCCATGGGGGCATCGTCGAGGCCGCGCACGTTCACCAACAGCCTCATGAGGGAGCCCTCGGGGACTTTCACTCCTTCACATGGTTCCACATAGATCTCACCATGGTTTCTGGACATCCGGTCTGACTGGGTGAACGCGATTTTTACATCAGCGATGTCCGCTAACATCCCCAGGTTCATAAGCACCTGGATGAACAGAGTTATGCTCGAGGTTCTGGGGGGTAGGCGAGTGCACCTGGAGCGATCCGGCATCTGGATCTTTGTGACCGTGAACACACCGGCGAGATTTCGCCTCGGGCTCCTTCCACCGGCTTCCACCTTCTGACCATGCGACTCGAAATCACGCGGTCTGGGAGCTCCCTCCGCGCGACTTCTGCTCTATCGGGCGACGACACTTCGACCCCCCCGGAGCCCAACGTATATTGCCACTCTTTGGCGTCGGAGGCCTCGAATTCTCGCTCTCTCGGCTGGGCTGAGACCTTTTAAAGAAACTTCGCCTCCTCGGCTGGTGGCAGACACTTCGCTGACGAGTCCTGGCCCAGAACCTGAATCGCCGCCTGGATCCTCGCCATCGACCGAAGACAAGAAAAACGGTCCTGCCTCCTCGACCCCGGCCTCGGGTGGGCGAGCGCGACCTCGCGGGCAATCCGCGAGCCTCGAAATCACGCGCCATCTCTCCCACGCTGCGCCGGGGTTCGATGCTCGGACGAGGCGGGAGCCTCGTGATCTCTTCGGCTTCCGGGGGCCTCTAATCCGGGGGGGTCTATCCGAAGCCGCTTCACCTCGGGGGGCTCGCTCGATGCTCTATCCGCGGCTGCCCTGGCCCGGGTGCGCGCGCGTCCGACGGCTGTGCGGGCCTTCTCGGCCTTGGTGCTTCGCTCGCCGCCCTCGCTGGGACTGGCCCGCTCGTCGAAGGCGGAGGCTGACCTCTCCGTTCCTCGCCCCCTCCTCTCGGCGCGGGGGCGGCAGCGGCAGGGGGGGGCGGCAGGGCGGGAGAGCAGCGGAGACTGGGGGTCCTGTTGAGCCCTCCCGACCTATACCCCCTGGCGTCGACGCCGGGGCGGTCGCTCCTCCTCCCGCCGAGCCCTGGATCTCGGGCCCGACCACAGGCGCCCGAGTAGCGTCCGAGCCCGCTTGGGCCTCGACGGATCCGTCCTCGGACGGCGGAGCCCGAGGGGCCGGAGTCGGCCTGAGGTTTCCCCGGGTCCCTGGGCCCAAAACGGCACTCGGGTTTCCCGTGTGGCTTGGGGCGACAGGAAGAGGGGGGGCCTCCTGTGGCTCTGGTCAGGCATCTTCCAGAAAGACGGGGTCCGGGGTCCATCTCTTTTCTAACAGCTCGGTTCCAGGCGTCCTCGGGTGGTGGGCCCTCTCGCTGCGCGCCCGCGGCGGCGGCTCTTCGAGTGGCCGACTGACGGGGGAGGTCCTGCCGCCGGGGACTCTGGAAGATCTGGGCCCCGAACTCCTCGTCGGCGCTGGCGAGCCTGAGCTGCTCGGCGGAGCATTTCCAGAGTCTAGCTCCCATGGCAACCCAGACTGTCCCGCCCTCCGCTAACACCGCGGCCCTGGGGCCGGTCCGGCCATCTCTCCTGCGGCCAAGGTTGTCGGCCCTGGAAGTGGCCCTGGCCATGCGCCTCCACGCGTAGACCCATTGGCCAGGAATAAGTGACCGAGGGGCGGGAGTCTGGGCCCGTGAGGCCTTGCTAATCTTATCCCTGGATGTCGCTCCAGCCTCTTTGCAGACGGGCGGATCTCCTGGGCTCTGGCGAACTCGGCGCCAGCGTCGTCCTGTTCGGCTGGGCCTCTCGAGGTTCTGCCAGCCTGGGAGCCTCATGGAATCGTCGGAAAAGATATCGTGCGGCATCTTCGGGTTTTCGCCAAACACGAGCTGAAGCGGAGAAAATCCACCACTTTGTCAGTGTCGGTGTTTATGCGCCGTACGCTCGTGCACCAGGGTGTCGATTTTTTCTACGCTGGTCGGGGGGCTAGGTCAAGCGTCAACTTCTAGCTTCGCTCTCTCTTTGATCCATCCTCCGTGGCGCTCCACCTTCCCGTCTTGCCGCGGGGAATCCGCATCGCACACGCGATGCTTGATTCCCCATTGCTCGAGGCCCCAGGCAGACCGTCCGCCGAATTCAGGGCCGCCGTCAGAAATCATCAAGTGCGGAGCCCCTAGAGGCCTCACACAGCATCTCACGAACTCAGCCCACGCCGAGGTCGCCCTCGCGTCGGAAATCCCCGAGCAGATGTGGAGGTTAGATCCGCGGTCGACAACGTTGACAAACGGGACGGAGGACCCCTGAACATCCATGTGGAAAATCCATCCCTACCACATGATTGAACCGGAACGTTCTTGGCATGGCAACTCTGCGATCGTGTTTCCTGTTCTCTTCCCACTCGGAGCACGCGACGTGAGTGCGAACTCACCTGGCTACGTATCTTTTCACTCCACCGGCACGGAACACTCGACAAAACTTACGTATTTCTGGGTGTCCCATGCTCACATGGAGCTTAAACAGGAGACGCTTTTCGACCTCGCCCGGTTCCCTGTCCTCGGTCCCGGGACCCTTCTTTCCTCCGTGGGGCCTGGTTTCTGGCTCGTCTCCGCTATCATCGCTTCCTTGCCCTTCCGCTTCCTCCTCGATAGTCGGAAGGCGTTCTTCCGCCAGCTCCGCCGGGAAATCGCCCTCCTCTAACTGGGCCACGTGGGCCTGGCCTTCTCGGAGGCCCCTGACCACTGCTCGGCGATGGCTCTCGCGACGGCCCTGACAAACTTTGGGGGGGGGGGGGGGTCGAGCAGCTCTCGATGTCTGATGACTCCCCTCTAGTAGGGCGCGCGGGTGGCCCCCTGCACATAGTTTGCCGCTCAAGGAGGAAAGGACGATGGGATGATTGGTCAGCAGCCCCGTGGGCTTCTTGTTGAGCCCGCGATGGTGGTCGACTCGCATGTCAAAGGCGCACGTGTCTATCCTTGGTCTGCGGACCCCCTGAAGACTCATGATAGCCTTTACCACCTGTGTTTCCCAGGAACTCGCATAGAGGGGGCGTTCGAACACAAGGTAGCGCCCCTGGGAGACCTGGAAGTGGCCAGCTTGCATGCAGAGGGTAAGGTCCCTGAGCCCCTTGAGCACTCCCTGCTCCCACTTGTCGGGGTCCCGGCGGTCCCGGTTGATTCGGTGATCGCAGAGAATGCGCGACATTCAAGACAGAGCCAGATGGCTTCGGGCTGATCTCTGATGATTTGCCCCCACATCTGATTGACCTGACTGGGGCCGCTAGAGCCCCAGTCGATCGTGCGATCATGGCTGGCCCGAGGCCCAACTGGGGCCCCTCTGCGGACCACTTCCGGAGCTGTTCTAGGGGGAGAAGATTTCCAGGAAGGCAGTCTGGGCCTTTTTCTTGGGCCTCTTGGGAGACTCGTGAGTGCTGCTGGGCCCCTCGAATCCAGCCTGACGCTCTACCGCTCTCCTGCCCGCCTGAGTCCAAGCCGACTCATGGTCGCCATTGAAATTATCTCCGTCGAGCCGCGACTCCAGGTCGGCCTGGCCCCCGGGTTCTGAATCGGTTCTAGTCGTAACGACCGCTCCCTCGAACCTCGAGCTGGGTCCATCCGTGGCGACGAAACCGGCGCCAGAGGTCCCGGAGAAAACACGGGGAAAACCAATCGGAAAACTGTGATTATCTTCTTGGCTCGGTTTTATTCGTGCCGGGCAACAGTAACTGGCCTGGAAGGCTGCCGTGAAGCTCAGATGGCGCTGGGCACCTGATGCTTCGTAAACTTCGCACCTCGGCTCGCAACCCACACCAGATCCCACTGCTGCGCGGCCTTCGTGGTAGGGTGTCGACCCGACGGTGAAACCCGCGGGCTGACCTCCTGACTGACCCTGGGCTGCTGGATCTGGCTGCCATCCGCTCCCGCTGCTGCCGGAGCTCTGGGCGTTCAGGTGGCTGGCCATCGCGCCGACAGCAGTCCCGATCTGCACCAGCATCGTCGTGACCTGGTCCAGGGCCTGCTGGAGATGGATCACGGCGCGATGGATCGTCGTGACCTCGACCCGCATCGTCGTCATCTGCTCTGAGATATTGTTCATCGTCTCGCCGAAGACCTCGAGACACCCCAGCGTCCGCCGAATGTGACCCCCCCTGATGAATGGTCAGCAGCCCTCCGTGACCTCGCCATGTCCTCCGAGCTGTGATGACGTGATCATATCCATCATCTGCTGGATGATTGGCTGGGTCTTGCTGATGGCCGCCAAGCCTTCGGGAAGAGACTGCACATGCTATGCCGGGAATGTCATCATCTGGCTCAGGGCGTTGATGGCCGTGAGCTGTGCTCCTCCGTCGACGAAGCCGTCTTGACCCTGAATCATATCGACAGTGCGCTGAGCCAGGTCGGGCGCTCTGCGAGCTGCTGCTGCCGCTGACTCTGGCCGGTCGCCGCCGCTCGAATCGCCTCGGGGAGCCCGCTCCAGCTTGGAGTCGCACCTGCTGCGCTTGACGCTGGTGCCGCACTGGTTCCCGCACCGCTGCCTCCGATCTGCTGGGTGGTCGCGCCACTCCGACTTCGGCGGCGGCTTCCGGGGTGGATCTTCCATGGGCGCGGTTTGAGTGGGCCCTGACCCGGCGGACTCCTCGCGTAGGCTGGCGGCGACGGAAACGCCCCGGCGGGCGGGCCGTCGGGGCCGGGCGGCGCCCAGCGCCCCAGCCTCCTCCTGAGGACGAAGAGGATGCTGCCCCCTGCGCCGCGGGCACCGATCCGCTCTCGCCCTGCGGGGCCCCGCTGTCTCCTTCCATCTGGCCGGCCTCCTCTTCGGCCAGGCGGAGCTCCTCGCGGAGACGGCGAAGGCGGTCGTCGGAGCCCTCCGTCGACTCGTTATTTCTCTTGGGGGCTGCTGCCACGCCCGCGATCGTCGCGAACATCAGGGCGACGCGGAACGTCCTCTGCTGGACTCTCGACTGGCGAGAGCCCTGGCAAATCGAATATGGATCGCTGCCGAACGCAGTTCGAGTCTGGATGGTCTACGGAGGAGGACCTGAGACGAGTGGGCCTGGGCCAGTAGCGCGTTCCCTGGGGCTCCTGACGCTGAGGTTCTCTTCCGGCGAAGGCCTTAGCTGACTCGACTGATCCTGGGCCCCGGACTCTCTGCTCGAAGACCTGCTGAGCCCGTGGCTGGGAGACGCCCTCGGGCGAATCCCCCTGCTCGCTTAGCGTCGGGTGGTACCTGGAGCCCTCTTGCTCGGGGATGTCATGGGGCGCTTCTTCGGGCCTCTCGCGATCTAGCTTGACGACCTGGCCTGGCTTTAAGTCCCTGACCTCTGGGCCCTCGAGGTAGTCTAGCTTGCAGACCTGGATCTCTGGGCCCACGACGTTGTCCCCCAACTTGTAGACCTGGACATCTGGGTCCTCGAAGATGCCCATATCGACCTCTTGAGTCACCAGGTCCTCTTTGAGTCCTACTTCGTAGTCCCGAGATCCCAAACCTCGGAGGTTGTCCGAGCTCGTTGTTGGCTCTTCTGTTTTTCGGCTTTGGTGCCTTTTGTGGGGACCTTGGCGCCCCTTACTAATGAAAACGTTGTGGATAAGGCGGACGATGACGAGATATACCGAGACCATGCACTGGAACACCGCCCCTGTGTCTGACATCTGCTGAATAGGTCCGCCAGCGTGCACAAGCGACGTCGGCGTGAGAAATGGCCACCGCTGGAGCGCCCCGGCTGGCACCGCGGAGCCCGGCTCGAGAGGGCGCGCGATGGTCGCCGTCCGGTGGCTCGAGCCGAGCTTCCGGAGCTGCGTCGTCCGTCGAAGCCTTTCTGACTCCATGACGTTCTGAGGGCGGCTGATCGCGCGCTGGAGGAAATCCAGCAAGTTGACGCCGAGGATGCGCGGCACGTCCACTTCCAGCACTGCGGTCTCCATCGCGCCGAGGACTCCGAACAGACGGAGGGGGGGCAGCACGGCACTGTTGACCTCCACCTGCCCCCCCCGCTCCGCGGGCTGCGCCGGCCTCTGGTGCTCCGGCGGGATCGACGCACTGGAGGCCCTGGTCGGCCCGCGCCTGGCTCTTCGCGGCTCAGCGCCCGCGCTCCCACGAGGTCGCTCCCGGCGCGCCGGGGTCCACCAGCGCCTGGGTGGGCAGCAACGCCAGGAATATGTCCTCCCTATGGAGCTCCTCATGGAGCTCCTGCCACGCTGCGACCGCCTCGACCGGCGGTGCCGCGCTCGCCGCGTCGGTCGCCCTGGTGAACGCGTAGGCCAACATATGCTGTCGACTGCCGCAGCTGTTCCAAGCATTTTTGGGGCGCCCACGGCTCCAATGCCCCTTCTGCCCGATGGTGAGCTGTGGCTTCCGACGAGCTCGGTCGCCGCGGTCGCCGCGGCCTCCGTCTCGACTCGTCCTTGACGACGAAAAGACCTTGTCCTTCGTCTTCCCCTTGCCACTGCTCTGGCGCCCGCCGAAGTACTCTCGGTCCTTCTTGGCAGCGCGCTTGAGATCCTTGTTCTCTTTCCAGGGGCGGGCTCTGGCCCGCGTTGCAAATATCTCCAGCGCGTTGTCGATCTGGTCCTCGTATAGGTCGAGGTCCTCGAGCTCCTCTAGCAGTGCTGCCTGGCCCATGGCCCGGCCCCCCGCGTCGTCGGCCTGGCCCGAAGAGTCGCCCTCCGAACCCCCGCCGCCGTCGAACCTACCCGATGGGGGGAGGATGAGGAGGAGGGTGGAGGCTGACTGGCCCCCGAGGCCCCCTCGCCGACGCCCGGCTCTTCGGCCGGCCGGGCGAACGCGGGGCCTGCAGGCGCCCGTCGGTCGGAGTGCCCAGGCCGCGTTTTCGTAATCTAGCTTCCCTTGCGTCGACGTTCTCAAATGCCGTTGACCCTGCGCTGTGGGTCCGGCGCCTTCCTCGAGGAGCAGCCCCTCGAGCTTCGACGAGAACCGCGCGTCGTGACGCTCTACTTCCGTCAGCTGGGCCTCGCGCCGGATCACGAACTGCACCGGGGTCTCCTTCTGCTCGCGAGCTGCTTGGAACAGCGCTTTGCGCCCTGCTCTACGGAGATCATCTCCTTCGCGTTCTCCAGCCGCGACGTCCACGCGCTGGAGGATCGCTGTCAGCCAGCCCGAGCCGACCAAGACACTCTCGGGGATATCCTCGAACTTTGCCTGGAAGCTCCATTCGAACATCTTGAGGAGCTTCTCCGCGCGGCGCCAGACTGCCACGTCCGCGTTCGCGTTCCACCTCTTGACTGCTCGCTGCCACTGTCTGTAGCGGGCCCAGCCGGGCCAAGACGGTGGGTCTGAGAAGTCGCCTCTGGCGCCGCCTCCGCCGCCACCGGGCGCCGAGCCCTGCTGCCAGACGGGGGCCCCCCCGCCTCTGCGCCAGCGGTCCCAGGCCCAGTAGCCGCTCGGCTCGGCGTCGCCCATGCTCCTGCTGCTTTGCCAGCCCTCGCCTGCGGACCAGCGCCAGCCGGTGATGGAGGGCCACTCCTCCCATGTGTCCCAGCCCTTGGGCTCGGTGGCTACCGCCTTGGTCTGAAAATCCTGCTGTCAAGGGTCTGGGACTGCGCCCGCTGCGGACGCCTCTGCTCTGCTGGTCGCGCCAGGGGTCTCCCTGACTGCACCGGCGATCCAGTCGCGCAGCTGCTCCGCAGTGACGCCTGCTGCAGTCTGTACTCGCGCGAGTTCTGACACGCGCTCTTCCAGAACTGCAGCACCGGGCTCTGTTTTTTCCTCTTCTCTTGCCATGCCGTGAACTGCCACGCCAGTCGGACCTAAAGCGAGGTCCGCGCCAGGATCGCTAGAGGGACGGGGCCGCGCCTATCAACGCCGCCGCCTGCCCCCCCATTGGCCGCCCGGCGGGGAAGAACCCCGCTCCGCTACCAACTGTGGTGGTAGCCTCCTCTCCAACATGATTTTGTTGGCTTGAGCCATAATACGACACGAACATCTCTCTCGCAGCTGAACCGATCAATCGAAAATTGGCATGCTGCTACACTGCGGCCTCCTGGAGCTTCCTGGAGCGTCTGGGGGCGGCTGCGGGCCCCCGGAGGCGCTGGGCGCTCCTGGAGCGTCTGGAGGCGCTTGGGAACGTCTGGGATCGTCTGGGAGCGCTGCTGTAGCGTCTGGGAGCGCCTAAGGGTGCTTGCAAGCGTGTGAAAGCGTCGTGGGACGCCTGGGAGCGCCTGGGGCCGGCTGGAAAGCACCTGGCTGCCTGGGAGGGTTCGGGCGCTCCTGCAATGCCTGGGGGCGCCTGGGAGCACCTGGAAGTCTGGGGGCTCCGTGGGGCGCCTGCAAGCGCCTTGGGGCCGCATGCGGGGCGTTTGGGCGCTCCTGGAGCATCTGGACGGGCCCGGTGAAGTGTCAGGCGCCCGGGAGCGCCTGGGAGCGCCTGAGGCCGCCCAGGGAGCGCTTGACGCCGCCTGGGAGCGTTTGGCCATCCCTAAAACGTTTGGGCGCGCCTGGGGGGCACCCAGTAGCGTCTGGGAATGATTTGGGGGCGCTTGGGACCGCCTGCGGTACGCCTAGGGCGGCTTGGGAGCGCCTGGGCGCTCCTTAGGCGCCTGGGAGCCCTGCTGGGGAACGCCTGGGAGCGTCGAGAGCACGGACCTTGTAGCTTTTACAAGGGATCACGGCTTCGGGCGCGCCGATCTTAAGTTTTTGCCATCTGGGAATCCTCATTCTGGGCCAGATTTTGGCCAGGCGCCGCTCGCCGATGTTAAGCTTGTGGTGCCGGCGGGCGACTTCAGAGAGCCCCCGCGACCCAGCTTCGATCGAAAAAGGGAGTCACCACCCAGTGCTACGCACATGGTGAGGGAGCCGTGGCCAGCCTTCCGCACCGCTCGGAGGCGGGTGAGCTAATTCTCGCCTGCCGTCGTAGTACATCGGGCATTACGCTGAACGCTCCGGCCACTGGTCGCTCGCTGCAAGGCGACTGTCAGGACCGACGCTCGCTCTGGAGAGAAAGAGAGAGAGAGAGAGAGAGAGATAGAGAGAGAGAGAGAGCGACAGAGAGAGAGAGAGAGAGAAAAGAGAAAGAGAGAGAGAGAGAGAGAGAAAACGAGAGACGAACAGAGAGAGAGAGAGAGAGAGACAGAGAGGGAGGGAGGCGGAGAAAGATAGAGAGAGAGGGAGATAGAGAGAGGGAGGGAGCAAAACAGAAGGGAGGAGAGGGGAGGGAGGACCGTGCGCTTCCACCCTGTGGCTGGTGACGGCTCCCCCCGGGGCGCCCGTCCCGCTGCGAGTGCTTCCAACCCGAGGGGCCTGCGGGCCAGCGCAACAGGGGCGGCGGAGGGAAGAGGGAGGAAGAAGGGGGAGGACGGGCAGGGGGGGACGAAACGAGGGGGGAGTGACAGGAAGGGGGGGTGGAGCAGGAGTAGGAGCAGGGGCGCCTGAAACCTGGTGAGATCATGGAAGGCACAGCCGTCCCTTTATTCCGTATGCCGAGGTGCAGGGCGAGCCTGGCGAGCGGTACGAAGACATTCGAAACGCAAACAAGCCCTGCATCTCCTTCCTCCTGCTCCTGCTCCTGCCTGTTCCCTCCTCCTCCTCCTCCTCCTCCTCCTCCTCCCACCTCCTCCCTTCTTCTTCTCCCCACCCTCCCTCTTCTCAAGCCCCTTTTTGTGATTCCCCCCTCCGACTCCCCGACGACGGCGGCAGTCGCGCTGCGCTGGCCGACACCTTGGCAGTCTCCTTCGTGTACTTCAGCGTGTACATCCCGGTGCCCGAGGTCAGGTAGAAACTCATAGCGCGCTACTTCGGACCGGCCCGTGGCATCGACGAGGATAATCAAGAAGGATCACTGGAAACGTGGAAGAGTGGGAGGGGCGAAGAGGGAGAATGAACAGGGAGAGGAGGAGGAGGAGGAGGAGGAGGAGGAGGAGGAGGAGGAGGAGGAGGAGGTCGAGCGTGCCCAAAGATGAGGAGGAGAAGGGGGAGGAGCACCAGCAGGAGGAGGAGAAGAAAGAACAGGAGGAGAAGAGGGAGGAGGAGGAGGATGGGGATGATGATCCCCGCACGCTGCGCAAGTGAGCAGTCGTCTCAGGGCGAACGCGCGGCGCGCGCCCGCGGCGGCCCGTAAGGCGGGACAGGCCTACGCGGGCGGGCCGTGCGACGCTCTCAGGCGGCCTCGTTCAACGAGGGCACCCGGGCGGCCAAGAGAGGCCGCAGCAGCGCCGCAGGTCAGCCTTCGAAGAAGGAGGGAGGAGAGAGGGAGGGGGCCGAGAAACTGCAGACGACTGCAATCAGCGGGCGCGATGGGGATAAAAAGAAGCATCCCCGCACGCTGCGCAAGTGAGCAGTCGTCTCAGGGCGAACGCGCGGCGCGCGCCCGCGGCGGCCCGTAAGGCGGGACAGGCCTACGCGGGCGGGCCGTGCGACGCTCTCAGGCGGCCTCGTTCAACGAGGGCACCCGGGCGGCCAAGGGAGGCCGCAGCAGCCACACCCAGGCTCAAAGCCCTTGCGAAGTGACAAGGTTTCGGCGGGCGGCCGCGAGCTGAATGGGCCACACAGCCGGGCCAACATTCAGAAAGGATGCGACGAGGAAGTCGCTGGAGTCGGCGAGGTAAGAAACACGGTCCCGAGCAGCTTCAGCCAATGATGGGAGGACTGCAGAGGCGGCAACATCGTAAAGATATCGCTCCGTACTGGAAGCTTGCCGCCAGCGATCACGCCAGAAGACGCGAGTAATGCCGTCCGAAATATCGGTTCTGAAGCGCAGCGCAGGGGACAGATCGAACCCCGATGGCGCTCTGGCGAGCGGGACGCCCAGCGCCGAAAGAAGATCGAGCCACCGAGTACGGAAGCCGCTTTGACCGAAGGTCAACAGGGGATCGGTGGGAGTCAAATCTCTGAAGACCAGCTCCATCATCCTGACCACTGCTCGGTCGGAGCACCGAGCGTGTTGACGCTCTCCGCCCGACCCCTGGGCCTCCGGAACAGAGATGCTCAGCAAAGCGTCGCCCGCGGACTCACGGCGGTCAATGGGCAGAGTGAGGTCGCTCCGGCGGGCGGTTGCCAACTCACCAGGCCTCACGGACATAGTGAACACGGCAAGCAGCAGGGTGGCCATATCAGGCCAGTCCCATGCGAGGCACAACGCTACCATGGCGCGCAGCAAAGCACGTGGCAGCGGTGGGATGGGACAGGGAGGCTTGGAAGGGATCCACCGTTTTGCCACATCCCACGCCTCGGTGAGGACGCCCCTCCACAGGGGCTGAAGAGCCTGCGCTCCCCGGATCGCATTCACAAGGACGAGGCGGGGGAGGCCAGCGTCGTACAACCACGCGCCGAAGGTCGCGAGCGCTCTCCCGAGCAAGATGCCGCTGCGGGCCCAAGTGGCAAGTGCCACACCTGTGTGCTCGACGCACCACACGTCAAACGCTTTAAGCGAACGAGTGCGCTGGTCGTCGCAAGAGGGGACGAGCCGACAGTGGCTGTCCACCTGCACCCCGAGGGCCTCGGAAGCCCCCTCGGGAAACGCAGGCGACAGAGAGGCAGGCCACTCCTGGCGCCCTGCCACGAAGGCTGGCGCGGGCGGCTCGCGACCAGACGAATTGGCCGGAGTGGTAGCTGCCGCTCCGGCGAGCGCCCGAACACGCCTGCGTTTGCGCTGTTCGGCGCGGGGGGCCTCGCTGACATCGCCGGTGCTCGGCGCGACTCCCGATTGGCGGTGCGTAGCGCTACCGGCCGTGGTGGGAGCACTCAGGGGCGCGCCGGCATCGGCTGCGGCGGCGCCTCCACCCGAAAAGCCCGAAGCGGAAACGCAACCTCTGATGCATTCGGCAGTGCGAGAGCGGGCGATGCGCAACGCCGCCTTCTGGCGCTCGAGCTCGGCCAAGGACGACTGCAAAAGCTCAACCGGACTTGGGCCCCCAGCCTCCGCGCCTCGACCGAATTCAACTTCGGTAAGGGCGGCGTCGCAAGCATCGACCGAGGCGCGGAACCGTGCCAAAGCGCGCCGTTCGTCCCGCACGCGCTTCGCAACCGTGGTCGTCGGGCCCACGACCCGGCCGGTGCGCAGTGCTAACCCGGTGAGCGGATCGGCACGGGAGTCGGACCAAGTGAAGGCGTCAGCGCGCTGGACGGCACGGGCGTCGGCGAGCCCCTCGGCACGCGAGTCGGCGATCTGGTCGACGCGGGAGTCAGCGAGCTGGTCGGTGCGAAAGTCGGTGAGCTGGGAGGGATGACAGTCAGTGAGCTGGTCGCCGCGGGACTCGGTGAGCTGGGCGTCGCAGGAGTCGGCACGCTTGTCGGCGCAGCAGGAGTCGGGAAGGCTGGGAACCGGCGACACCTCGCTGCGTGCTGCGCTGTGGCCCCACGGAAGCACGGCTCTGGGTTGTGCCGCCCCGGCGGTGGCCGCAATGGCAGCCCGCTCGCGGGTAGCACGCAGCATAACCGCTGCGCCCTGCGAGCGCCCGGCCAGCAGGGCAGGCGCAGAGCTGGCGCGCGGCGCGACGCTATGGGCGTCGGTGCGGCACCCTGGCAAGGGGGGCAAGGTGCTGGCTCGAAAGGACGGGGGCGCCGCGACCGCGGTATGGGCGGCCCTCAGGTCGGCCTCCAGGCGAGCTTGCGTGCGTCGCATGGCGGCAGTGGGCATCGCGGGGGTCTGCACTGCGCAACGTGGCGCAGCCCGCGACCCTGAATCGCACCAGCTAGCGACCGCGCTCGGCTCTGCGTTTGGATACGCACCATGGGCGTTCCGACGCTCCCCCGGCACGCCGCGGGGGCGAGCACCAAGGGAGGCGTCGAGAGCCGAATCCCGAGTGGTGACCCCGCGCGAGCGGTTCGTGTCGTCACGCCTTCCCGCCGCCAAGAGCCCTCCGCCTGAAGCACGGCGAGTAGCGCCGCCAGAGGCCGGGGCATCGGAGCCAACCACATCGCGCCCAGGCCCGAGGATGAAGGCTTTGGCGTCACAGAGAGCACGCCATTTCCTGCTGGCCTCGATCGACGTATCGCGGCCGGGATGGCAGGCCCAACCCAGCCGTCGAAACTGAGCGTTCACGCGATCAGTGGTCGCACCGCGCTCCAGGTGGAGCAGGCCGTGCGCAGCAGCAAGTTTGGCGGCACGAGCTTGGCGGTGGCGAGTCTGAATCGTGACGGGTGGACGACCCAGAAGACCCCCCAACGAAGCGGGAGCCGAGCCGGTTGCCTTCGACAGAAGCGAGACGGGGTGAGTGTCCCCCGCAGGCGTACCAGGTCGAGCAGCGGCGATTGCGTCGCACTTGGCGCGTGACCTCCGCTCGGGCGCACCCTCTCCTGGTCCCCCGCCGGCGGCGCGAACTCCTCCCTGCGGGGCCGTAACAGCATCGCTGGAGAGGCGCATGCCTACCGGTGGGGACGGCGAAGGGCTTGGTACCCGAGGGGCGGCCGGCAGGCTGTCACGGGCGCGAGTGCATCGCGACGCGGAGAAGCTCACCGCTGCCGCGCTCGAGGGCACCTCGACGGAAAAGGGAGTCCCCCTGCGCGGCGCGGCGCTTTCATATGCGCCGCGGGCCTCGGCGGAGGCCGTCGCGTCTCCCCTGTCGACCTGGGCTGGCGCTCGCACGTGGCGATCCGCGGGGAGCCCGAGCGGGCCCGCGCCCGCGGCGGGGCTGCGAGCCAGAACTTGCAGCACGAACCGGCCCCACAGACAAGTCGGGTAGGCGGATGCGGCGTCGGCGGCCGCTATCATGTCGAATCGCTCAAAGCGCCCCTCGTCGATGTCAAGCAACCAAGCAGGCTCGACACGCGAGGGGGGGCGAACAGGGCGATTGCGCGCGGGGTCGTCCGCTCGGTGGACGTCGGTCGGAACATAGAGCCCGCCCATGTAGAGCCCGCCCCCCAAAATGTACGGCAAGGAGGTGCTCAACACATGCGAAAGGCCAGGGCTGCTGCTCCGACCGTGGGCGGCCGCGCCTAGTGCCGCTTGAGAATCCAAGAGAACAGGGATCCGTGAGTCAGGGTTGCGGATGCAACAGTACTTGCACAGACTCTTGAACGCGGTGGTCTCCAGGATGTTGATGTGGCGGGGCATGCGAAATTCCCACTTATAAGCTAAGCGGAAACGCAGCGCCTCCGACAACTCACTGACCCAGCGCGGTGCGATGGGGAGCTCGAGGGAAGGAAGCCCGGCCTCGCGGCGCAGCTGGGTCAACTCGGGGCCTAAAGGTTCCCCGCGGCTCAGAACCATGAGCAGATGGCGGTCGTGGAGACGAGTACGCCAGCCGCCATGCTCGGAGCGCCGCCACAATTCTTGCGACAGGTGCGAACTGATGTCGCTGCGGACAACCCCGCCCCAGCCGAGGGAGGCATCCGTGCCGTGCACTTCAGGGCAAGGCGTCGCCCGTAGGTCGGTCATCGCAACGAAAGCTAGGTACGTGCACGCTTGCAACTCGTCGCGAACCGAAGACGGAAGCTCATACTCAAGCCCGTCGTCGGGAAGAGTCGAGATGAAGGTGTAGATGTGAGTGAATATCGACAAGATGGGACGTCGATACAAAAACACCTGCACCCAACAGCCCACGAGCGAGCTCAACAACGCCCGGGTCGAGCGACCGAGGAACACCTGGATCAGAGTCAGGCGGCAAAGGGCCACAGTGCGAACCAGGGGAGCACACACTATGCCGATCCTGCCTTCCACCTCGGCGCCGACAACGACTTTGTGGGTCTCGCCCCTGGCTCTCTTCCCGGGGTGCTGAATGAGACCCACCCGGGGGTAGCCGCGATCGCACGCAGCAAAGACCTCCCTGTCGCGGCGTGTCG